AAAATATTTAATATTATAATAAAAATATATATTTAATTACCTAAAATGATAAGTGGATCACTCGATGAATAAAAAGTAGTTTTTCAACATCACGCAAGTCAAGAGTAATAAAAAAAATGTCAATATATCAAACAATTTTAACAATTTTCTTATTAAATAGGAAAGGCAACCAAGGAGAAGATTATTTCATTCTAGGTAACGAAATATCAATATATTATTATTAYCATGACATTTTGGGACTACAGGAGTTCAATATAGTTATCATAGTTGTTTAAGACGTATTTAGAGTTTTGATGTCCTAGGTAAAGTTTTGATTGTGCCACCCTTATTCTGTCTTAAACAAAATCTGTCACTGCAACCATTTGTATAGGTACAAAAAGTTTGCAAGAACTTACAAACACTCAACATTTGAGAAGTACGTGTCAAATCTTCAGGTTTCTTAGTCATAAAATATTTGTCTGATTTAGAAACTTTATAAATAATAAGTTCGTTTTTTAATTTTTTCTATGGATAATTTTTCAAAGGCTGCACAACTTTACTAATCATTATTTATTTGCAAATAATTTGAATATGCTGTAACTTTTAGAATATTGAACAGTTATCAGATTGACACATTGTATCAATCAAATTCCAAAATAATAAGTAGGTACAATGAATACAACAATAATCTTTGTCTATATTATATAAACCATAATCCACAACGAAGCTGACAGCCTATTGTTGTGTTAACCATAGGTCCATACCACAGATTTTAATTGATACAAAATAATTTTATATAATGAGACTATATTAATAATATGTTATTAGAAATGATACCAAAAATGAAATCACACAACAAAATAATATTGATTTTTACATAAAATTATGATATAATAAAAAAAAATTATGGATTTTGACTGACGAATGACATTGGACAATGGTTGTAGATTATGGACAATAATGTATGTATTTCCACCTCTAAATCCCTGAAAATAAAGACCAAAGTCATAAGGTTCCCACTTCCCATATCACGGAAAAACAATAAACACAAACGACAATGTACATCGTGCTTATAGCATTCGTTAAATCCGAAACGCTCTGGGAGGCTTACCCTAGGAGGCTTCGACCCTGTGGTATCGTTTATAATCACCAAACGTATTTAATTTTATAACTTAAAATTCGTTATAATTTTAAAGTCTACAAAGGTTGAAAACAATGGAAACCCAATTCAAAACGAACCTACTGTAAACTACTTTATACAATAAGAATGTATAATATATCATATACAGTATAYATACAGTTTATCTTATAGACTTCCAAAGGGACAGATAAACAGAAATCTTTTCGAATAATTTATATTATATGAACGTATCCCCGTGCACAAGACTTATTATTAAACCTATACCATTTACATAACTTTTAGGCCAAAACTATGAGCTTTTTTATTTAACCCCATAGGTTTTCAAGCCCTGCAGTTTGCTAGCTTCAAATGTTTTTAGATTATGTATTTATTTTTGAACATTTTCCAATATATATGATATTCTCCCTGTCTCCTTTCGTGGATAAAAGTCCTAACCGTAATACGGTTCACTGAATACTAAATAAATGTGTCGGTTATTATAATACCAAATGATCCAAGATTATAGGAAAGCTGATAAATGTGTAAAAAAAACTTAATAAATTAAAGAATATTAATCCGTGAAATCACATTCCCTGTAGGTTTTGTCTGACGCTAAAATATAATAGGTATATGTGTTTTACTTGTAGTAGGTATAGATTTCGATTAAATTTAATGACAAATTATTTTTACAACTTATTACTACGGCTCTATACTCAGATTATAAAAATTAGATAATTTAGTCTAAGATAAAGTCTGAGACTATAAAAATCAAGTAAAATTTAAAATGTTTATGATTAAGAAAAAATGATTTAATAAACAATAATTTAGTTATCTTAATTTTATTTTTATTTTACATACAATTACGAGAATAAGCAGAGATTATACTTCTTAGGAAATACAAATATAAAAAAAAAAAATACTATAGAGCTAATTTATGTGATTGCTCAAATGTTTTAGAGATATATTTATGTAGTTCATAGTCAGAATTCAAATTTAATATAAACCTAAAAAAATTAAAGACAAAGACCATCAACATTTGAACTTCAAACATTAAAAAAATTAATAATTTCAATTAGCCTGTATAGTTATAGCTTAGTCCAGTTATGTGCAATAGAAGTTTCATATAATTAAATTAACTAGTTACTATATTGTACAGATAACTGTTTTATTTTATAAGCAGTTATATTTACGGATTTCAAGTGGATGATTATATCTATAAGTCATATTATGTAAGTGAGTAAAATTTTAAATTTAAATATATATTTATATTACTTTACAATTCCATAACTGTAGTAAAGAAAGTTTACTCCAAGAATGTTTTCTATAGAGCATCTATTCTGTACGAGTATATCGAATAAAATTTATCTTTTTGTTTGTTGTGAAAAAGTCAAAGTTAACATGGATTTATGTTTGTAGAATTCTTTTACTATTTTTCAACAGGGTTTTCACGGACAATTTCATTAATTTTTTCGAATTCGTCTAGGATTTCGGACAAAGGCAATTTTTTAAAGGTTTGCATTTAAGATCGAACATTACGTGGAAATCGTGATACGGTCAAAAGTGACAAGATTAAGTGAGTTGTATCGGTCCACGCCATAATTAACTGTAGGAGTAGGTATAGTCATTGATTGTTTCACTTTATCATTGAAGTCGATTTGAAGTCCGATGGAGTATTACGTTTTTTCAATGAAAAAAAAAAATAAAAATACACAAATAATACGAAAAGTCAATATAATATACATCAAATTCAATTTATGTTTTTACATTTGAAAATCAATCTTTTAAAAAAAATTTAACAATGTTTTTTTTTTTTTTTTGATCTTTAGAATACAGTTCGGCAGCACAGGCCATTAGAAATAGTTTCCATATTTTCATATTGTTATACATATATTACATATTTACAATTGTATTATTAGCTTAATTCAATTAGTTGTTTGAAGAAATTTGATAACTAGATTTGTTCTGGTCCAGGTTGGGTCCAATTATTGTGTCCAGGGATTTTGGGTAATGTTGAGATTGTGACGAACTTATTAATATAGTAGGCACTCCGTAATTATGTGTTGCACAGTGAGATGATGACCACATGCTTGGCATATAGGGTGATCTTCTTTTGCCATAAGGAATCYGTGGGTAAGTCTGGCGGYATGGCCTATTCTCGTGACATTGTTTATAACAGGTACTTCTTCAGTTTATATTTAGTAAATAATTAATATTTTAAAAATATAATCAGGTCATTAGGTKTATATTATAAATTATTGTATGATGTATAATAATTTATAGTAGGTACCTATTATATGAATACTATGTGRGCATAYACCAGTTGCCTTGACATGTTAATATATACACGAATACAATATACAGCTCGTAAAATAGGGGAGGTAAATATAAAAATCATAAATAAAATATAAAATTAATTATAAAAATAAAGTAAAATAGTTCAAAATTAAAGAGTCAAATTCATAATAAATAATCTAATTATAATGATAAGTTGTATATTCAATATAATAATTTGTCAATAAAAAAAATAGTACGAAATTCAAAAGTATTATGTTTTGTTATAATAATTACAAACCGATTTTACAAAATCTAATCTACTGATATTTTTGTTTTTATATTTATTTATTAAATCTTCGATTCTGGCTTTTTTGTTTAAGTATGTGCGGTTTGTAATATTTTTTTAATTTCGTTTACATTGCTTATAACAATGTATGTATTTGTTTGTACTTCTTTTATAACATTTATGAAAGTAAAAATATTTGGTTGTGCACCACTAAGGCACTAAAGTTCCTCGAAAATAACGAATAAAATGATCCACATGCATAATGGTAGTCCTTTCTGAATCAATTGAATTCRTAGCACACAGTGAAGATGGAAAATTCTAAATCGATTAAATATATGTGTCAATATTTTCTGATAAAAGCTGAATTGACATCAGATCTTCAACMAAACAATCGTCTACTTCACTAGAGGGTAATAATGAAAGACCAACAATTAAATGAAGCCATTTTCCAATTTCTGAATTTGGATCCATGTAATCCGGCTTTAATCCTAAATTTTGTATTCATTTCCAACATGACTGAGTTAGATGAAATTTGCAACCCCCCCCTGCTTTGACGTACACGACTTTAATGTAAATCGCCATTTTACACTAGCTTGTGTAATGCGATCTCCATAAAAAGTATAATTATTTAAACCTAATAAAATATTGTCCTTTTCACTATACACTCGCGTAATATTTTCCATCGCGTTAACAACGTCAGTGCTTTCCGTACGTATTTTGCATACTAAGATGTACTTATCAAAGAAGTAGGTATACATCGCATCATATAATAATTTCTAACAACCATAAATATACTAATAAAGATATAATAAATGATAATAACAAGCGTATTCCTATAAAGCCAAGATAATATAATAATTGTCGTTAGGTACTCATCGTTACTTATAAATCGGTTATCCACTCAGACGCATCTAAAATTACGCGTTTTGGTAAAATTCTTGCTCTGCATCAAGTAGGCTATTATTATTTATAATCAGGGCTAGGATTTGTATGCAATGAAAAATTGAAAAATATGCATTTTACATGCATGAAAATTGCATGATATTTACATCGTTTTACCTTAGCTAAATGTTTTATTTTCGTATTTGAGACGATGCAATCCTTATTTTATTTTTTTATTTAAATATAATTACAATTTATCAATCAATAATTAAATACAATGAAAAATTTTGCTACAAAAAACATAGCGATATTGACAGATTGGGAGAGCATTCTGTAGTACCACCCAAGTACCCGACGAATAAATTAAAAGATCTCTAGGCCTGGTTTGTTTAAGACGTTTCTGAGGGTTATTAGGGGTTTTAAAAGAAGACAGGCGTTTAATTAGTGGATTATTGTGGTGGATTAACTTATAGTGAAAGGAGATGCAGTGAGATTTAGTTAGTTCAGAGAGCGATGGAATATTTAGATCTTTGTGGATATTTTTATTCGTGATGAACCATGGCGCAGAGATAATTTACCACAGACATGGAGACATATTAACTGGAATGCCTAAATTGTTTTCGTATTAAAATATTTGGCAGAGCCCCATATCTGGATAATGCCGTAGGGCAGCGCTGCAACCCTAAGCGAGTTTTTTAGGTGAGTTAACCAAGAATCAGAAAAATATTTGTTATAAAATGTGTTTTGGGGCCTCAAATAACACAAGACGGCCCGTGGATTGAAGACTTTGTATTATACTAATATATTAAATTTTTCTATAATAGTTTWTAGATAACTAATTTTCACTTAAACTATATATTAATTTAATTTAAATAGGTACTAATWTGTATTTATAAAATACGTTGGCTGATTATATAAAATATAATATRCATATAATTTTCACAAAATATACTATTGAAAGCTGTATAGAGATTTAATGATTTGCAATCCAAGTTTAAAAACAAACAAATTAKACGTCYTAAAAATTAATTTATAAATTATGTTGAGGTTTGTATAGGGTATAATAACATATTAATACGATGCTTACAAAGTACTTATTCACTACTGATTTTTGGATGAAGTAAACAAGGATTTTAGCAATCRGGTCAATATTATCTGATAACACTAGGTGTAAAAGCAAATATTTAAATTATAAGTCATATATACATCCAACACTCTTGTATGAAGCGARCTCAACCTTTAAAGAAATATATACTTTATATTATTATATATGCGTAWTTTGTAACACCTTAATTTGATAAAAAAATATTACATTCATCGAAGATCCTATAAATAAAAATATTTTTGGTAAAATAATCTGATAAATTCTGTTATCCTTAATATTTTAATACTGTCTTTACTTAATTCATAATTAATATTATGTACCTCAATGCTTAATCAAATAAGTACTAAGTGCACAAATTTGAGAATTGTACACAATACTAATGCTTATTAAAAAATTACATTGTATTATAATATGAACCAATTTACTAATCATAATTTTTCAAAATTCGTATCATTATAATATTATACTTAATTTTGTATACCACATAGGTACCATCCAAATATTCAGTTAGCATTTACCAACATATTTCAATAAACACAAATACACGAGTTTATAACACGCAACCCGACAGAGAAAAGAAAACAACATTTAATTCAAGTCGCGTGCATAAAATGTGAAAGCTTTTAGATTTCCTGCAAACATGTGACAGACGTTACATCTTTAGAACATATAAAATATACGAAAATGAAAATACGACGTTTTATTCTATCCACAAAAAAATAGATTATGTTGTATAAGTAAAACATATTTTTAAGAGTAGAATAACCTACTTCCAATTAGCAATTTAATGTTGATTTCTTACAAATCAAAAAATAATTGATRGAATGTATTTATTGAATAATGGCATGTATAAAATATTATAATTACTTTACCATAATACCCTATTATAACACTTTATCTTGTGTAATTAATGTTAAACTTTTTATGAGATGTTTAAGTAATTAAGTGCTTATGTGATCAAAAAAAAATAAACTGTTAATTTCTACGCTGAGCAAAAATAATATCTACCATACAATCACAAAATTCTGTTGTTACTGAACTTAAAAATGAAACATTTATAAGGGTAATAACTTTTTACATTGTTAAGAATAAATATGAATTTTAATTTTTTAAGATAATTTTATGAGTTCGTATGTTTAATATTCTAACATCTGTGTATAAGGATCTACAAATTATATTATTTTTTGACCATTTAGAAATAATTAAATAAAAATATATAAATAAAACTATTTATTTTTTTATCACGTTTGAACAGTACGTAATTTTTCTCTAATGTATAATAGAAACTAATGTATGTATTTTTTTTTACGTGTTAGGTCACGTGTTCTTGCAGCACTTTAGTTGCATCCCATTATATTGGTCAGGTAGTACAATGTTTATTTTCGTTTTGAAGTATTCAGTGTTGTGTATTTATAAAAAAATTCTGGGCTATTACATTGCGAGATATAATATATTATACTAAATTACAATATACATGGATGTATTTTTTATTTCGATTCGTGGTTAATAAGCAAGTTGAAGTTTATCGTAATCACCCTCAACAACAATTCACATGTTTTTTTATTATTTATCGAATTATTATTTTTTTATRAACCACTAATATTATGAAATTGTTTTACTGATCTTCGATATGGTTTTTCCTACTAAAAACCGGTTCCTTATTTAAATCTAGCGGTAGGTACGAATTTCGTCCCATATAAAAAGGTATAATACTAATTGCGTCATGAATTTTTCTCGAGTTGAATTGCGTCCTCATTATGGGCAGAATACTCGACTACAACTATATGAACTACAAATAGTTGTGAAGCTTTTCATTCGAAGCTCAACGCGATGTTTTATAATGCTCATCCAAATATTTTCAATTTATAAATATTCTGAAAAGGTCACAAACTGATATTTATGTAAAACAACGGAGCACTCGCTTAAAGAACCGTACAATCTCGATAATTAATAAAGAACAATTTTTAAAACAAGTAATGGCAGATTTGCAATCAAAAAAAAAAAAAAGTAGATTCAAATTCATAAAAATTTGTCTTTTAAATTTGTACCAATATCATAATATTTTTTACTACTTACTCTTATATTTTTATACAATAACAATTACAAATGCGATATAATAATATAAAAAGCAAAAACAATATTTTCAACCTACCTGTTTAGTAATAKTAATTATTATGTAATTATTATTACAGACATTTCTAAGTCTGTATAAAAATGTTAACTCAAATATTATTTAGTTTTTAAAATATACGAGACGCATTTGATATACACAAAATAATTCGGGGTGCAACTACTATAACTCCAAAAGCTATCCGRGATGCAATTAGTATGACCCTAGAAAATACCTGGGACGCAATTCGGAAGGAATAGGTGCCACGGGACGTAATTCGCAGCCAAATCTAGACCTTTACTTTATCCGGTTTCAACAAAGTGAATTTTTGTGGAAAGACTTTTCCACCAAATACTCCTTGAGAATTGTGTACTTATTATGGTGAACAAATGTGTGTACACAAAAGTTAAAAAATGTTTTTATCATTATAATACATCGATATCACAGAAATATCCATTATATATTTATAACGATTATACWTCAATATTTTTATTGGCATGGTACAAATATGAATGATTCAATTATAAATATATGTATTAGATGGAATAATATTATAATTAAATTACAGTTAAAAAATTAAATATACATTATGTTCAGAAATTTTAAATGTCTTGATAAAAATGTGATTTTAAATATCATAATAAATATGTAATGGATAATATTATTCCATCTAATACATATATTTATAATTGAATCATTCATATTTGTACCATGCCAATAAAAATATTGAAGTATAATCGTTATAAATATGTAAATTATAAACGAAATACTTTTAATGATACAAACTATTTAGTGTTAGGCTTGAATACTCCTACTGCATAAAGAAAACCCAATTTACATATTGCATGTATGAACATTTTATCGAATTATAGTGATTTCACTTATAATTGTGAACACACGTGAATGATACTACTCATATTATACTATAATACAGAGTACCTATATTTCGGTTTCAGATGATTATTTTTGTCATTACTATCAGTACATAATTGTCTAAAAATTAAAATTATTGATTTTCAAACTTTCGTTTTAAACCGATAAAAGCTATGTCAGAAACGAGTAACACCACAAATCTTTTGGACACAATTCCTATACCTTTTTTATTGGGTGCAACTAATGTGCTTCTTTTACATTCACCCTTGTCATTAACTATGTTGTTTTTGTCTGGATTTCCACAGATACGTGGCTGTAGTGCATCCGCAGATCAACCGGATATGGTGCCGGATGGAGACCACCCTATCGGCAATCGCGTTGGGCTACCTTGTGTGCCCGATCATCTGCATACCCAGCTACCTATCGTTCAACCTGTTTTCCCGAGTRGAGATATTGGACGCGAACGGTAACCGTCCGACATCGGTACTGCAGTCAGCGCTTCGGCGGGCCAATAATGGCACCGATGTGCACAGTGGTCATGGTATCGGTGGAGGAAGCACCAACGGAGGAGGCTTTGGCATAGGCACCAGTGGAGGTGGTGGCGAAGGTAGTGGAGGCATAAACGACAGCCATAGTGGCATCGGACCACTGCGCAACGTCACCCTATACTACGTCAACGTCAGTGACCTGGCCACGTCCACGTATCTGGCTGACATCAATTTCTGGGTGTATAGCGTCGTCATCAAAATTATACCGTGCGTGGCACTAACCGTTCTCAGCCTGCGGCTGATATGCGCGTTACTGGAGGCCAAACGTCGCCGGGCCAAGCTGACAGGAAGTGGCCGTAAGTCAGCCGACAAGGAGCGGCAGACAGACCGGACCACCCGGATGTTGTTGGCCGTGCTCTTGTTGTTCCTGATCACCGAGTTCCCACAGGGCATACTAGGCCTGCTCACGCTGCTGCTCGGCAAGCGGTTCTTTCAGGACTGCTACCAGAACATGGGCGAGGTGATGGACATGTTGGCGTTGGTCAACTCCGCCATCAATTTTATACTGTATTGCGTGATGAGCCGGCAGTTCCGCAACACGTTCAGTTTGCTGTTCCTGCCTTCCTGGATCTCTAAGGCCGAGTCACAGGCTCTGTCACATGGTAACCCGACCACCACGCAAGTGACGCAAGTCTAAGGTGACAGCTTCGTTACTATCCTTGATCCCCCCCTCACTGTTGATCCATCGTCGTTGTCATAGGGTGTACGTGACACACATCACACAACACTCACCACCCGCTGACCGCCAACTCCGACAACGGTAACGACCACGATAATATTATAACGTATATAKGCCATGATTCATCAAGGATGATCAATTCTCATTTTTAAATAAATACTATAAAATATTTAATCTATTCAAATTCTGATATTTAGAATTATCATGTATATTTGCATAATAAATAGCATATTTTCAACTACTCAGATTTCTTATACTTTTTGATTAGGTGTAGCCTATGATGATATCAACTTTTGTATTTCGACTGAGAACCACTTTTTTTTGTACTGTAAACTATTTAGCAATTAATTTTTGTTTTTGGAATTTTCATGCAAGTATCTAAATATTGAAATTCCGACGAGTAGTTTCTGAGTTATTCAACGTTATGTTCAAATATATAAGAGTTTATTGATATGAAAATTCTTGTAGTTTATACTATTATAAAAATA